ATTTTAGTGCCACTAATCGTCACAAATTGTTTAGTGTGCATATTAAAGGGTAATTTTTGCGTTTATGAAAAATGTTCTTTATGAATTAGCAAGTCAATTTAACGTCAAATGGTAAGATGCAATTTTCTGTCATAATCATAGAGTATTATGTTTGTGAATATGCAACTGCATTGAAAATTTATACCGGTCTCAGAATCATTAAATCAAATTACACAAATAATTCATAATTGTGTAATAAGATAATATGTATCTTAGATATCCCACAAAAAGCAAACATGTTATATTTTTTGTTTAACTGAATGTAGGAATTTTAAAGGCAATGAATTATTTAAAGGATTTGGATGATGTCGGTGAAATGTATAGAAATAATACCGACACCAATTAGGTCACGTGATAAACTTTCATATTCACTCCTATAGACAGATGATATGGTATACTTTTCCCGATTAGAACTGTAACATTGCTTCAAGTAATCAAACGTTTATGTTAGAGCATTTTTACATTATTATAGGTATGTCTTTACAAACTTCTTTGTGTTTTGTAAAATCTCATCAAACTTTCTCAACTTCAATTTTTTACGACGATGAAAAGAAGTACTAAGATATTTATAGCTTTTATATAGTAAAACCGTTTAGAATAATATATATATATATATATATTGTATCCAACTTTTCACTTGAAATTATGCCATCATTGATTTTTTACACATGCTGTATACATGTTTCGGTAAATCTGATGCATTGAGGTATCAACGGTAAAGAGACCATGCCATATTTATCACTTGGTATTGTTCTACCACTGATGTCAACCATTCAACGTTTTGTTCCTGTCGTGACGATGGGTGATCTGAACTGGCATATCAGCAAATGGTCTTATTTTTATCTTGAAAGCCATTCTTAATGTTATATATTGATTAACCTACTAGAAGGTATTAGCTAGGTTTTTTTTATTGAATGTCACAGATGTTTTAAATTGTGTTGAATTAAGTCAGACATGGAAATAAATTGGAATTCACTAAATTCGATATTAATGGTAAACAAAGTAACGGTCTAAATAATGGAAATCTCCCACTTTAAGGTCACACTGTTTGGCACGCGGTACATTAATCAGTTCCAGTTTTGTTTTTATCTATTTTGGTGTCTGAAGTTTCCAGCTCGACTGTGGTCTTTTTAGTCGATCGATGATTATTGATTAATGTCAGCATGGTAAATAATTTGTTTACATGTACATAGATTCAAGTGTCACTTTACAATCATACCATGTGCATTTAATATGTCAATTTTTATTCAATGCAAATTTTCATCTAATCATTTCCTATAGATGAAAACGGTATATACGACAAATATTAATGTTCAGCTATGCCAGCGTTTGTAGTTGCTCATTTTAAATAATGTTTGTTATACGATAACTTTATCTTTTAATGTGTCACATGACAAACTGTGACATCATAAAATGAAAAGGAAATGACATCAAAGACTTTCATATCATATTCTGACGTCATAATTTAAATATTAGATAGAGAGTCAATATGGGGACGTATTAACGTCATTTATAACCTAAGAACGCACGATTGGTTGTTCGTAATACTGTCAAACATTTTTAGTTGTGTAATAAAATAAACCTTGTATTTTTTTCAATGTTAAATGATATTTATACAACCCGTCAATTGAAAATGAACATAAAATGCTGTATTAAATGCATATAATCAATGTGTTAGCTTCTAACTAGATTGATTGTATGTGATATCGAAATGAATGAATAGAATGGTGTTTTATACCGCTTTGTATACATCGATTCTGTTTTGAAGGAAATATTTTTTCATCAAACTAACTCCCTGAAACCACACGTGCTTCATCTCGGAATAGTTCCAAGTCAACCCGAGAAGCATCGCGGATACTTTGTCTTTAAAACAAATAACATATTGAAACATTGCATGATTTTAATAGTAAATTGTTAATGATATTTTAAGTCAATACCTGTGGATGAAGATAAAACATTAAATTATATCAATGTTTTTAAATTATATCATGCTTCACGATATAATGGCCCTGTCTGGAAATATAATCATATATGTAATTGTCATTGTAAATCCTAGCACTTTTTTAATAAAAAAAATATGATTAACACATCTAGAATAACCTCTACCACATCATCTTAGAAAAAATAAGAATCACAAAATAGTTCGATTGGTAAGGGATAAGAGTATGACTTATTTAGGTATATCTTCCCTTTTGCTCCCTAAAACGTTCCAGAATCCTTATCAGAAAAGACCGCAGAAAGGAGGTTGACCTTCACGACATCGCACTTGACATACATATTATACTCATGCGTACTTGCTTTGGGGAGAAAATGAGTTATTTTGTCATTCATGCGACTGTGCCTCACATAGTTATCGGAGGTGCCGATTCGAGACCAATATGATGACGTGCCAGATATGTAGGTATTGTTCATCTCAATAAATTTGTCACAGATTTGTCGAATATCTTGGTGAAATTGATTTATTCTATATAATTTGAAATTCCGAAATTCTTTGTATAATATCTTACCATTCCTGCGGTACACTTATATAAAAATTAGTGAAATAAATCAACACAAACCTGAGCAAGTACATATTGTCTGCGTGTTAAATCAAAGAACAGTATTTGTGGTATATATCTTAAACGTAAGTCACGTGCACATGATGCTAACACCGTATCATACATTTCATAAATAGTAAATATATAAAGTATATACACAGCCATGTTTGTCACCAATTTCCCAACACAACAGTGACGTCAACATGCACATATCTGAAGGAGGCCCGAAACATCGATATCCAATCATAATATATGGTATATGCTTAACAAAAATGTTAAAAAAAAAAAAATAACCAGTTTGAAATATGAAAGATTAACTGTTAGATGAACATTTGTTTGTGAGGTCGTAAATATGATGAAAAGGTGATGGAATGTAGACATCAGTAAAATCTGTTGATTTTTTTTAAGAAAGGAAGACAATAGGTCGGTGACTTAACAAAATCATGTCATGCAACAGCATCGCATCATAGTCTAGTATTGCACATTCTTAAGAGTTAATAGATAGCAAAACAACCTGAAGTTATTTGCGTGTATTTCAATTTCAATACACTAAAGCTGATAATGATAGAAAAATAATAACTTATGTCGTAATGCTTAATCATATGTGTCAGTATTAAGATCTATGGACAAACTTTAAACTAAAATTCAATATCGATTCAGAAATCTTCTTAATTTATCAAAGCATATGCCAATCAATTAAGCAAAGATATAGACAATTTAACTTTATTTTAACTGCTGAAAACATTGTTGAAAGACCATTTATACCACACCATATCAATGTAATTTTGAAAAGCAAGAAAGGTTGTGAAGGCATGTATGTTACACTAAATAATAAAAGTAAATGTGCGAATACAGCTGAAATAAAATGGAAATCAAAAGATAGTTTTAGAAACATAGACTGGAAACGATTGTATAGCATTCCTTTTAAAAGTACAACGGATACGACACTACAGTGGTTCCAGTATCGGTTAAAAAATCGCATCCTCCCACTAAATAGTTAATTGAAAACTATTGGTGTTTTGAAAAATAACCTGTGTAATATGTTTAACACAGAAATTGAAACTATAGAAAATATTTTCTAGGAAAGTCCTCATTCTTTCAGACTTTGGCAAGATTTGAAAAACAAAATATACCACAACTTAGATAAATTAATTGATTTTAGATTAGAAACAGTATTATTTGGAGAGACAGAGAATTTTGCCTTACCAATTAACTTTATCATCCTTTAGGCAAAATATTATATATACACTGTATCAAGAAAAGAAAAAAACAAAGACTCAGGCTAATGGTTTGATTGAGTTTCTAGCATTCCGAATTAACATCGAAAAATTTCAGCCTCAACAAATTTACGCAACGAAAAATTTGATCAAATATGGTTTGAATGGAAATATATTTTTTAACAGATTGAGAAACAAGTTTACACAATCCATACATCTTTGTATCTTTGTTTATATATTTGATACTCTTTCTCTTGAAATGAATATTTAAATTTCATTTTGATTTTGTTGCGAAAAACTGTAATCTGATAAAAATAAAACTGCATATACCCGGTATGTTATGGTGAGCGGATGTAAGTGCTGTTTTTTGTTTGTTTTGTTTTATAATTATCTTTTAAGCGGACATAAAAACCAGTATGAAAACCGGTGTTAAAATGCTGTTTGAAAATTGATGTCAGTATATGTCCTTATCAATGTGAATGACCACATGCATGTGTCATAGAAATATTCATACACATATGTATATATAAATATATGTACATCTGACTTGTTTGCACAGTGTATTTATTATTGTTTCTTAACTGCTTAAAATTATGCGTGCATAATGATGCATCTGATTCAATGTATGTAAGTCTGTCTCAATGTATACTTGTATGTATGTACTGTCTGTCTGTGTCTGTCTGTGTCTGTCTGTCTGTCTGTCTGAATGTATACATGTATGTATGTAATGTATGTACTGTATGTCTATCTGCATGTCTGTCTGTGTGTCTGTGTGTCTGTCTGTCTGTCTGTCTGTCTGTCTGTCTGATGTATATATGTATGTGTGTATGAGTATTATGTGGATGTATATGTATGTGTATTATGGTTTTTTTGTGTATACTAGACGTGCTATGTTTATCCGTGTTTGTAATATTATGTTGTATATGGAATGTGTTAGGGTGTGAAAGAAGTATGTTTTGTGTTCTTGTCCTGTACTCTATTTGCAAATATTTTATTTTGCCATTGCCCTTCCTATTTATTAATTTTTTGTTTGACTGATGGATATTTAATGAAAACCCTCCTGCGTGAGGACACCATATTGTTCAGGGGCTGACTTCAGGGCTCCCCAACCCTGGCATCCCCTATCAAAATATGTATATATGTATATATATATCTGCTTGGAAGCAGTAGATGTATATTCATATTTAAGGAAACAAATGTCTGGGGAAATAAAATATTTGAGAGAAAAAAAGAAAAAAAAGATCTATAGACAAGCCCCGGACCAGACCTACCTGGACACACGTAAGTGTGGTCTATATTACCAAAGCATGGAGTACAGCACACAGGCACTGTCCAACTAATACTGAAGGACTTTGTGCTGCTGCACTTAGGATTAACACATTACTGGGAGGAATAAGTCTCTGAAAACAAGCGATTCAATAACAGTAATTTGATGCAATATGAAAAAAATACCACGGAGAAGCTGGCAATTATCAATAAGATTTTATGATTTCGGGGAAAATTTCAGACAGCTTTTCTTTGAAAACTACAAATTGGATTGACTGGAGTAAAACTAGATTCATTGAAGTTCAATATAGCCTGGTTTATTTTAATAGCAAGTAATTATAGCAAGTCCTTCGCAACATTAAAAACACAAAGTTATGATAGTATAGGACGATGTAGCTACTCTATACTGTTTTTTTAATTATAGTTTGTAAGTACGAAATCACTTAAAACATGTAAAAGTATAAATCCGGGATGAGGTGATGATATGATAAAAATCATTTGCCTGAAAATGAATAGCAGAGTCGGTTTTGCAAACAATTTAAGAAAGCATGTGTTGGTGGTCGCAATAGATAACACACTCGCCTTTTACCAAGGCGGCCGGGGTTCGATTCCCCTATCAGACGTGAACAGATATTGAGTCGCCTGCCCGACCAAAGCGTGGGTCTTCTCCGGTTTCCTTCCACATCAAGACCCTCTATGACATTCCATCCGGGTCACCAAGAGTGATTTATATTAGTTAAACAAAAGTTATGTCAATAAATAAATAAATATTATGCAGAGGATAGTGAACAAACATTATGATTATATACAAAAGTGTAGGAGACTTGAGACGTCCTTTCACACATAATGGGAATTTTTGGCACAGTGGCGGTGTGTTAAACCGTCTTTCTATCATTAACTGAGCAAAATAATCCAGTCAATCTTTAAAGAGCACTTTTGATTCAATATTGTAATATTTATTTTTCATGTTGCACCATTTTGATTTCCTACGCCATACTTTGATGTGTAAGGCACTTGTTAACGTTACGAATTTAATAATTTCGTGACCGTCTGCTTTAATTTTGAGAAAATACTTTTCCCTCATAGTTCTTGATAATATTCGAAGTGGATCTGTTATCTGTAATATTTTGATTAAGTCCTTTTTTCAGTTACACACATCACATATATTTTGTTAGATGAACACTTTTCGCAACGTCAAGCCGTCAATGACATGCGCTGCTCCCGTTTGGTTTTTAAGTAATCCAAAGTCTGTGTCATGGTTTCTGTACGGTAAGCTGACCAGTCTACGTTCTGTTGTAGTTTATTCTGCATCTCCTCGTCAGTCGGGAAGGGACATAGCTGTTGAATAGGAAAACAATTCTGGTATTCAATATACCTTAGATATTGAATAAAAATAGGAAAATACCAAATACTGAAATTTCTAGCCTTAACATATTTGATCAAAGGATTAAATTTTTCAATCGATATAAACTCTTTATAAGTAATGTTCTGTATTGATTTTATTATATGCTTATATCGAATTTGATTAACTTTTTATTTTTTATTTATTATTTTTATTATCCATTTTATTTATTTCATTTAATTTTCAAATAACCAATCTTGTCCTTCACAGTAATTTCACATTTTAATAGACATTTTCCTTTGATAGATTATTAGTTATGATCGATGGTCATTCTTAGGTTACATATTCTAATAAAAGGATATGAGCTTCAGTTTATATAACTGAAGTTTACAGCAAAATTGATATACATGTAAGTAATAATTGATCTTCATGCTTTTTTTTCCACTTCAAAAGCACTAAAACCACATACAGACGATGTGATGTCTTGCCACGTACGGTTATTTCGAACTAAAAAATATGAATGATTAAACCCGACAGATATAGGGAGAAAGCGGTTAATTGTCTGATATGAACATTCAGGTATATTGCATTATTATAGAAATACGATGAACATGTCTTACCCATTATCTTCCGTTTTCAAAAAGACATTTAAATGATGAGTAAAACAACAATAAAAGTACCACAGGATACAAGTACAAAATCTAAATTGACATCATCTTGAACCGAAATGACCTCAAATCAAAGCCATAATAAAGAACTGGAACAGAGTTGCACTCACAAACGGAAGACAATACCAGACATTGACGTGATCTCAAAACAGAAGAAAAAAAAGCTATCGAGATGATCATAAAACATAAGAAAAAACCCGACAGGAATCTGAAAAAAAGAAAGATAAAAGAACAATGGGAACTGAGTTGGGAAAAAAAGACAATATCAATAAGTGAGTTGGACACAAAATAACAGAATACAATATAACGAACCGAGGTGACCTCGTAACAAAGATAAGGAATCAACAGGAATCGTTTGTTGGCCTATAAACGAAAGGCCCGTGTATCCTCGTCAAAGTAAAGAGACAAAGCCTGATTATATCGTATGGTATTCGTTTCATGCATAATGTGCAACGTTTTATATTTTATTAATAAATTATGATGTACTTTACCTCCTGTCTCATCTTGTTCTTCAGAGCATCTGAAGCATTATTGACGTAGAACTCTTTGTCAATTAGAATAATATCCGCTCCGTTGCTCACTATACAAAAACTGGGCTGAGGTTCCAATATGAGATCGGCTAAACCCTGAAAAAATTAAAGCTTTGTATTTACATGTATGGTAATGGCTAACCTTCGTATAGGTGAAACCATGAACGTATAATAAGTGCTTATCTCTAACAGTAACCATTCATAAAGTAATTCTAAAAAAAAAAATTACATATAACAATGCTTACTTTTGTAAAAATGAAATAATTTATATCTAATAAAAAAAACTATATATGATTATGACTACCTTTCCTACAAATTAAACCATTAATACCCATAATTATCTCCGTGAAAGGTAAATCGTTCATTTCAATAATGGTTAATCCTTGTAGTATTGAAATCATTTCGTCATTTGGCCAGTATCATCGCTTTATATATGGTTCTAGTCCTATTCGAGTTATCGTTCTTTCAGATTTTTCTTTTTTTATTCACGCTCAAAGGTAAATAACTCTTTTAAATAGTTACGCAGTAGACAATGTGAAAGCACAAACAATTGGAACTGTGTATGAAGAGTGGGAAACATGTCGATAATTATATTTAAAATGTTAATCCTGTATGATGTGTTACAATTTGTTCTACAAAAGGAACATTGATAATTTCTTATTGTATCGTTAAAACAACAACTTATCTTATTATCACAACTACGTTATATTTTGGATATTCTACGGGCCAGGTTTAATAACAAGGACTTACAAATGCATGGCCTTTAGTTAATGTCTGTACTTCAACAAACTCCGGTCTGAGATCGGCTTCTGTAATGTCATCCAGTTCCTGTAACGAAAACATGGCACTACACTACTTTGTAAATAGCTTACTTACTCAATGTGAATATTAACACGTACAGGTCAAAGTATCATCAGTTATTAAATGGTGCTCCATAATTACAGTTAATGACATCATGGCGTCAGTTAACGGTATGTCTAACACACAACAAACACCTACCAATGGGAAGAGTGATAATCGACAGACACATGTTGGGTATGACATACTATGTCACTAATACGTCCGATGCATAACAAGAGAGGTAACAGATGATTATGTTAAATATGGAATAACAAAAAATTCATTCGATTTCAAGGCCTGAAGTTACAATGATATCGTCCATGTAAGTTTACCTTTTTCTTGGCAAGGTCGTCCTGGATCGTTCGTTTGTGTTCTTTGAAACCCATCAACTCCTTCTCCTTTTCAAACACACTTGTTCGTCGCCGTCCTCGACCACCTGTAAGTTGTAGGCAATGCATTCGTTTGTTTTTGGAAGATGGACCCAGCAACTACACTGTAAGCTTAGTCACTGAACGTTTCAACCACCTCATATACATGTATCTTAGTCTTATCTTTCCTTGTTGGTCATGACATTATTTGATAAATATGTAGCAATGTGATGTGTAAGGATGGATGATAATAAAGGTATTTGATTCGCAGTTTTGTGTTTAATAGCGTCATTTGACGTGAATTAACTTAGGTAAAATATTTTCATCAACATCACCCAGTTATTAACATCGTGATTCCAATTCATACATAAATGTTCAACAACAAGTTTCTTAAATACATCCTCTTCAGCGGTCTGCTAGCCTTTTCTGAACAGTTTGTATAATAGATAGGAAGCTCACCAGATTTTTTTATTTGTCTAAGCTGTTCCGAATTGGCATCAGTCGGTAGATCGTCGAACTCATCCTCTCCTTCCTCATCGTCGTCCTCATCTACATCATCCTCTTCGGCTTCTTTCCCCTCGGCCAATCGAGGCAAGATCTGCGACTCTATTTTTGGGAACGAATTTCTCGGTTTGTTTTCCTTATTCTGGGCGTGATGTATATCCGGTAGATTGACGTCATCGTCATTAGCTTGGTTATCACATTTTGAGCCGTCAGGAAGTGGATGTTGAAACGGGCGTGGTTTACCAGGATATTCCTCTACAAAGTCGTCCTCTTCACCAACATTTCTCCGTAGAGGGATTTTTAGCTCTGCAAGAATTCTCCGGTTGACGTTTCGTTTTTCCTGATTATCACGTTTCTCCTTTGTGGAAACAAATGTGACTACCTTAGCTACAAATACAAACAATTCATATGATAAATTTTGTATAACATTCCCTTTGTGCATTCTTACGACATAGCGTCTTCATTAGATGGGAAATGAAAAAAACAAATGATATACTAATATTACTATATCATTTTATTTATTTTTTCTTCTCGTGATATTGCTATATGCATACCTTTCTTCTTCCATTCAAAAGGGACTACTTTCTTCAGCTTTTTTAGGATCCGCACACTTCCCTTCGATAATAAAGATACAAACAACATACACGTTACTATTATAGAAATCAAATATCTATTTTATTCATTATAAGTAAAGATTGTTGAAATGTGTTATAATAAAAAAAAATCTCATTGAAAGAATACATACTTTAGTATAACAAGAAATATATTTAATTCTTCATTCTGAGTGAAAAGTTTCTTAAGGTAAGTAAAACATTATCCACTTGTTTGGGGTTTTTTCAACTGATAAAAAATTGTCCCGAAAGACTAAATATAAAACTGTTTTTCATGTTCAAAGATACTATTTCAGCAGTTTTTAATATCATGACGTACCGATTTGACAACTACGATCCAATCATAGTAGTTTGAATCCTGTGCTAGTATATCGCCTCGTCTATTAAATAAACAAGATTGAATTATTTTAATTTATTAGCATGACATAAATGAAATTAAAACAAATATATACACACGCATCGAAAACAAAACAAGTTTTAACAAAAAACACAATGTTTACAGTTCAGTATAACACAAGTACGGGAATTTGAGCGATCAGCAATTTAAAACTTGCATTCTAATGCATATGACATGAGTTTGTTAAAAGTGATATATCTTAAAATCAAACATTCAAACATGTCTATTTTACTTGTTCAAATCTGTATATATACGTCTGTCTCTGCTAAAATGAATAAAGACTTAAAGATGTTTAGTTCGATTTTATAATACTGCAGTGTGTTATGTACAAATTTCAATTAAAGAATAACAGTTACAAAATTAAACGGGAATAACAGATTGCTGCATAAAACTGATAATATCTTACTTGAAATACAAGAACTTTGTCTTGTCAGGTGATTCCTTCAGCTTGTCAAGTGGCCATCCATCAAGAAAACTCAGAGATCTAAATTTTCAAAAAAAGATTTATTATGTTTTGATAAAAATAAAATGATGGCATAAGCGCTTACACAAATGACTCACATTGAATTCATTAAAACACTACAGCTAAACGAAAATGTTACGCAGCCTTTTATGATTAACTCGTCTAGGTGTAATGGAATAGAGCAGTGTCCGACAAAAACTAGATAATGGTTTTATTTTAAAACAGATATATGCCCACAGACTAGTTTTGATAGAAATGAAGCTAAATGCGAGACACTACTTTATGGTCCTCTACTATATGTGGCCGAGGCAAAACTGGTATTGGGAACCTACATCTACTAGCACTATAATCATCAGGGTAACCTCCCCTTGTATGTACAATCGTGCAAAGAATTCAAGGTTCGCAAAAGAAGGTTTGTTGTTTCAAAAGGAATACTTTCTTTTCAAGCTTTTGTTTTTCGTATTTGCGGTTTACAATAAAACAACTTGTGAAATTCTTTTAAATCAATATGCTGTTTAGCTGATGCAACATCGAACTACCAGGCGGAATACACTGATTAGCCTACAGCTAATTATCCTCCGGCAGTAGTAAGCAAATTAAGTCATGCATTTATGTATTCAACCGCAGTCAGCAATAGCGACCAGTATGCATATCATAGCATTGCAACAAAGTGCATTAAAACCCTGTGTGCGCCGAAACATAAATGGTTAATGATTTCATTACTGTCCTGGTATAACCTGTTCCAGTTGATCGAATTTTCATTTAATTAAAATTCAACCACTTTATCTACAAATTGTACATGTGGTTGAATTATTACTTAATTAAGAATAAAACACTCCAAGTACACATGTATTATATATCTAATTAGATGATTATAGAAACTTGCCTCAAGAACTTTTCCTGGTCCGGATCACCAAGACTCTTTGCGCCACCCGACATAAATATACGCTTGTAATCCTTCTTGGCTATGCTAAGGAACTCGCAAGGCTCTTTACAAATGATGGTAGCATTGCGCTTCGTGCCTTGTATGATAGACAGTTCCTGAAAGTAGAAAAACAAACGTTTATACATACATCTATAATTGCATTTATTTTTACTGTCTTGAGTGCCAAAGATATAATTTAAATACATCTTATTTAAGCACAAGATAATTTCCATGGATTTCAATATTTACAATCTGCACTGTATTTTACCTAACAACATTGGAGTTATGTCCTCGTTGCCTTATTCTGAATCGTACTTTAGTCATCAATACAGTAGTAAGGAGTTTTAAGAAGAGTATAAATTACGCTTACTTTGTAAATAAAATTACGCTTTTTTCAATAATCATATTATCGACACAGTAGTATATATAGGAAAAATCGGCCGATTATTTCTCGAGTAGATCAACGTTATTTGGAAAAACAATATACAGACAGTGGATGAATATGTTTCAGCATTGTTAGGAGTGATTATAATAATGTGAACAAACCCCAAAATCGCCTCCTTTGTTGATGTGAAAAGCTGGTCTGGCGTAAGTCCTGGACTCGTCCATAACCATCACCACAGCTAAAACATGGAGTTTTATAAGAAGATATTCAACCATTAGCGATGAATATATTGGTGTCATTGATAATTGGTAGCCAATAGTTTTCTATGTTGATACAGAAAAAGTTAAAGAGATAACATTTTTTTAATGTATTGGTGCAATAGGGAAAGGCTTTGCCCAGTAGTGAAAAGGCTGTGCCCAGTAGTAAAAAGGCTGTGCCCAGTAGTAAAAAGGTTGTGCCCAGTAATAAAAAGGCTGTGCCCAGTAGTGAAAGGCTGTGCCCAGTGGTGAAAGGATGTGCCCAGTAGTGAAAGGATGTTCCCAGTAGTGAAAGGATGTGCCCAGTAGTAAAAAGGCTGTGCCCAGTAGTAAAAAGGCTGTGCCCAGTAGTGAAAGGATGTGCCCAGTAGTGAACGGATGTGCCCAGTAGTGAAAAGGCTGTGCCCAGTAGTGAAAAGGCTGTGCCCAGTAGTAAAATGGCTGTGCCCAGTAGTAAAAGGATGTGCTCAGTAGTGAAAGGCTTTGACCAGTAGTGAAAAGTCTGTGCCTAGTAGTAAAAAGGCTGTGCCCAGTAGTGAAAGCTGTTACTTGCAAGGCATATGCTCTGATGCATTATTGAAAAATAAAGGTAAATAATTTTAGATCTAAAAGTTATCTTTGGTTTATTCTTTATGATGCAAATGACGTATAACATTCTCACCTTCTCCTGACAGCACAAAGTAGTAGGCTGACGCCGGATGACCTTGACGTAGGACAATTCGCTTCGCTTCGTACCTTTTAAAAAATAATTGTTACCTTCATTTGTTACCAAATCGAGGCACAGATTTTTTTGATTTTTTTTTTAAACAGAGATTTGTAGTTGTTACAATCGATAAATGTTTTAATATAGCAAACATTTATAATAGAAATTACAATCATAATAATATCTCCAACTACTTTTAACAGTTATTTTTTGAAAAGTTTCGATACCTTTCATATTGTCCTACTTGGGCAATCTTCAGTTGCATATTTTGAGGGTAATCAGCAATGGCTTTAATGTTGCGTAGAGCAATTTGTGCCTGGAAAGTAAAACGGATATTGGAATGACATTATTATTATATAAATTAAAAATTACCAACAGTGTATTTGATATTTTTGCTGTCTTATTATAAATCTGGGAAAGAAAAAAATGTAAAGCTAGATCATGAATGTATTAACTGAATATTTTCAATGTATCACAGAAAAGTGCTGTTTCATCATGGACGTGGTAGAATATCATGCAAAATTTGTTTGTGCTTTTGTTATCATATACTGTAAAATATGACTGATAAAGAATGCAATTTGTTACTATTCTCTTTTTTTTATTATTCACTTTTTTGTATTTCTACTGAGCTTGTTAAAGATGAACTTAGTTGCACGTGGATATACGTGATAATGAATATCTGTTATTTGCCCATATACACAAACCTATACATAACAAGTGTAGACTCTGTAGGTAAAATGTTATGACCGAGTGAACTTCTTACCACATATATTTCTCTTTCTGTTCGGTTACGTGGGATTGTACACAGTATTTTCTTTGTTTCTTCAGGTACCCGCATCTTTAAAACAAGGCAATTGAACACATATCATATATCATATAGACATATATCATATAGACATATAAGCAATTGACTTTGCCACCAGTTTCCATATACAATGCATCCATATAAGGCTTACGACTCTAGCGGAGAGATCTATGAAATATGTATAGCGCTAGGCACGTTCGGTACAAAACATGACAAAGAGTAGAACTTTGACAACGATAATGTGTAAAGGTACAACTGTCGCTAGAAACTACATACTGTTCAAATTGTTAATACATTGTGTCGTACCACCTTCGATACAGTGGCCCTATATGTTTGGTCGTGTTTCCTAGGGATACCTAGGCGCTTTACTGGTCTCGCTGGTTACCGTTTACATTGTACATCTGCTTCATTGAATATTAGATCGTATCAACTCGGGACACAGTAGCACTTACATTTCACGCGATTACAGCGTACATTGTTCAGGTTTAAATGGCCGTAAGGTCGTGTCACCTCGTGTTTCCAGTGACATGACTAAAACACTCCAAACCTAATTGATTATTACATTCCTGAAAAGGTTAATTAATATGCGAAACACTTCAAATAAAAGTTTATATTATTGGTGACCACTTACCGATTTATTTGCCTTGAAGATGGATCTGTCGAACAGAAGATCGGTAGGGGTATCATAGTCGTGGAAGTGTAACCCTTTAATAAAAGGCGATACCTCGTCTTCATGTTCCTTCTCTCTGTGGGGGATATAGATCATAATTAACGCCATCCTTAAATATGTCACAATACTAATAATCCCATCAACGTTTATCATACAACATAAAATTATTTTATAGTAAAAGGTCATAAAGAATGCTGGCACTGAAATGAGTGTAATAATTTCAAGTGAATAATTAAGTTATGAACCACAGGTACTGAACCTGTTAAAGCAAAAACCGTTTTATAAAGAATATAAGGTAAAACCTCGAAATAATGCCCCCTCGTTTCATTGGCCACCTCACATACCGCTTACATATATTAAGGTCCTTTTTCCCTTTCCTACGAATTCCTTTATATTTCCCCCTCAATTTATCGCCAAATTCCTTTATGACACCAAAATGTCTCTGGACATATAGTGACTGTAGTAACAGAATAGCATACTGCTAATACAATCAAGGTTGAGTTACCTCCAACTGGAGCATTTAAACTCTGTTATTGGTATAGTTCATAATTTATAATTTACAGGTATGTAAAGAAAAAATGTAAATGGTACTACATCGTCAACACAAATGGACAAAATCTGACCTGGAATTCGATACAACATGATCGATTGTGACATCATAACAAACAAAAAAACACCATAGGCCCCCACAGAATCCTGATGCGTTAACAAAATACTTCAGACAGGTAAGGGTTTCCTGAACCAGCCAGAAAGAAATCTTTAAACGAAATTATACTTACCTTAAGGAGTGGGCTTTAAACAGCCTGAGACAGATGACCGTAAGTTTTCCCACTAACCGAAATTTCTTAAGTAGTTGTTTCTACAAAACCAACAAATAAAAAGTTATTCTCACCTATTGTAGACAAGAACCTTGTACATTCGAATACATATCATTATGCCGATTATCTTTTTCCTTAACAAGTTGAAAGGTGTGACCGGCTCGCCGTCCATCTGCAGTATTTTCCGTCTGGACCTCCTAGACTGAAGTGTCCGTTCCTTTATCCGTGCTCTAGCTACTTTTTTCATCCTTATTATAACCATAGGAAGAAGCTTAAGAGCAGTTTGCTGTGATTTCAAATTCTGCTGTAGTTGTTTTATGGCAATGCGCTCGGTCCAAGTTCCCTTCTTCATTTGGCCAAGTGCTACTTGGACGCTACTTAATCCTACAGTATTTGGAAGCTTTGGTACGTCCTCTTTTGTCTCGTCACCCTCTTCTTCATCGTGTGTTTCTCCTTTGGTCACATCTACTGCTATTTGTTGTCTGGTAGGTTGTTTCCGCAACATGATGTTGTGGTTATAATTAATTTGGAAAATGGTAGCAGTTTATTTAGACTTGTATCTCCTCAAATAAAGATATTTCATATCACATTATGCAAGGTGGGTCATAAGAACAACATCGACCTGCTACAGTGGTTATTGGTATTTCCCAAACAGCATCCAGCAACTCACAGTAAACTGACACCCTATCCCCGGGACTATAAAGACAAATGATCGGTCGTTTTATTTTTACAAAAGCAGGTGTATATATGAAATAGATAGTACATATATCGACCTTAACAACCAAGACAATTGGCTTTCACCACCCCATAAACCTTCCATTGTGTCATTGGCAAACACATCGACAAAAGATCATGCGTGTTTTATATTGGGTAAGACAATATGAAAACACTGCCAACATCTGCCTAGGAACAAGTCCCACGACTAACACTATTTTTGTATTGTCAGCAGTAGACCTAAAGAGCTCTCTAGTAATGTCCATTTCGTTAAATGATGCAACGATGTAGGCCATCAACATAATAATGGGCTTATCGACCGCTAGCTTCACATGAAAGGATGAAACTAGTGCCGGTGTAGTTCGGAGATGTATTCGCATGTATTACAAAACACAGTTTTCAAGAGACGTTACATTCTAAAGTTATCTGAAATATGTTTTTGAACAAAATAAAGGATGTACATCACATTGCGTTAAGTGTTGTTTAATGATGTTCCTATTTTGCTGTTCACGTCTTACTTCCCATGAATATGCTTTTGTTTAAATATTGATCTGTTAATTTCTGCCAAAGGTTGCACATTTGTAACGTTATAAAAGATTGTATAGGTACCTTTCCAACTTTGCTGTCTTTCGACATATCATTCTACTTCATAACACATAGGATTTCAATATTTAGTAGTACTGACAAGTCCTAACAAAGAAAAAGGTCACATGGTGTAGTACAATGTTTACCTTTGCTTTCTTTATTGACTTAATCGATTTTTTTGATATGTGCTTCCTTTCGTTGAATTTCTAATTATTATTGACAAAATATCAATCGGAGTTAGGATTTCGAGAATGGTGCCCATATCCCATTACATTGTAGTTCGCTGGAGTTAAGACTTAAAGGATTATGTTGAAGTCCCATTACACTGATAAACACTGTTTAAGGATTGTGTCTAGGGTTATCAAGTTTCATTACACCTGTTAATACATTAAGGTTTAGTTCGAATCGCTGATACTTTCAAAATTATTTAAACTGAAAACAAAACATTCAAGTCCTGAAATTCAAAATATTCACGAAGAAATAACATATACAAACATATTCATATTGTGCACACATTCAACAAAATATTCACACATTCAAAACTATTCAAGGATAAATATCTTTTGTAAAATACATTGTAAAATTCCAATAATAATTATTCACAATTTATACCACCACAAATGCAAAATGCCGTAATACCAATTTGTACAATAAGTAATTAATAGCCAACCACCAACATGTAAAATTCAGTTCCTAATCTAAGTCCAATCTCCAAAAGTTTCACAACCTGACAAAAGGACAAGTAACACTATTTACCACAACCTTTAAAAGCCTAAAATATGTTTCACATGGTTGTAGAAAAAAAACACCATTATTCCGCATTTCAAATAAATATATAGATAACTGTCAAAGTTCTAAGAAAATCCGTATAAAATCAAAATCCCCAAAGTATCTTTACCGTATGTGATCCATCCATAAATGACTGGAAAGTTAAAAACAAGGAAATAAAATGTTGATGCTACGATTTCATTCAATATATATCTATCAAATAGAATCGGGAACAGATCTATTTATACCAGCGTATTTTTCAATGTATACATTTATGATTAATGTCATAGAACCAGTTTAACAAATTATAATGTTACAATAATTATGTGCTGTAAAATCAAATTTACAAAAAAATATAATAACATTATAATTTTTAAAATCATTATAATAGTGTGAGGCATTGTGAGTCTTGTCTACCTTAAAGTGAGAAGTGTGATCAACTGTTTTGTGATGCTAGTTTAACATAAAATATACGGTTATATATAATCATGTGAAAATATGCCAGTTTAACATTAAGTACATGTTATATTGTTTTGTAATGAGGCAAGTTGAGCATACAGTATAATATTTTTTGAAACGGTTGCACAAGTAATATATAGTTGAAATATGTATGCTAGACCCTTTGTTACATAAAAAGGATAACATTATAATCTGTGGTGCATGGCAATTATATTAAAAAGCATGAAGTTGTTTTTACGTCGTAAGGCAGGCATATTATAAAGACACGACACTGTTGTAAGTTTGACAGTAAGACTACAATGATTATGTGATCAGTATTGGTAATGCCTATCACACGCATTATACTATCTATGGAGGGCGTGGTCTATAGTACTCGAGTGGTGGTGTGAGGCATAGGAACCACAACCTCTCAAATCGGCCTTAAACAAATCTATTCAAAGTAATCTCTGCACACACCGAGATGTTGACGTGGTCGTGCCATAACTCACGTCTAATGATTGAGAAAAAATATCCTGTTTCGGTTTCTAAAGGTGAGCTTTTGGCAATGGCAATGCAGCATCAATAATCACATTTACCGTTATGCTTATATAATAAATGAAAATGCTATAATTCGTTAATAATAGAGAATGCATTTAATTAGCACGAATCGCTGAAGGGAGCCAGTAAACACGTCTTAATCAACTGAAGAAATTGTGTATTTGAAACGTATCTTCAGCGAACAAGAATCATTGGCAACCATGCCATGCTTACAGATGTTTGTTTCTTACTATCAATACAATTGTCATGCAGGTTTACATATGTACAATGCATAGCATCTAATTTACTGTACGCGCGGTATGTAGTGATCATGTGGGAGAGCGCTTTGATAGGTATATGTATTTAACCTACAGAGCGTCTTATCGGGATTATGTGTTCGTACTATACCTGTTTGTATTGGCTAACTCCCGCTGTTTATTAATGAAACTATTGCTACCTTTGGTGTGAAGAACTCAATATTTGAACACCACCTACATACTTATCATGTTTGCTTAATACCTATCTCTCCTATGTGCCCACTTTAAGAGTCCGTGGTCCTTTGTTTTGTAATTTGGGGCTCTATAAGAAAGGAACTTATAGCTTTCCACAATAAATGAGGCCTGGTTTATTACACTGTACACGCCGGTGTATATATAAGAGCTTTTACAACTTTCTTTGTTGTGTCGGTGGTGTTTGTACTGCCATTTATATGTACCTAAATATATCTCTAATTCCTAGTATAAATCGACCTCCAGATCGGTTAAAACAATTGACCTATTTACAGATGTCCAGGTGTGTGTAAAACTAAATCAATTAGCATAGCAACATAGATTCTAATAATTTAATGAACTGTTACATTTATGTATGATTGAGGTACTCTTTGGCGGGTATAATACATATCTTGGCGAATGAAAATGCACAATTTGCTGTGGCAAACATATACTATAAACATTGTTTTTGTGACAGTAACATTTCAGAGCTTATCAAGCTAATTCTTAATTACAATTAAATACAACAACCGATAAATTAAAGATCGGAGTATCCATGGATATCGAAAATACGTCAAGCGTTAAATCATGCTAAGTATTATCGATGTGCAGCGATATGACTGCTGATATAAGTACTCTACGGAAAGCTAGAAGCACGTTTAAAGTAAGTTATAGCAGAACTACGTTTACAGTAAATTATAACAGAAGTACGTTTACAGTAAGTGTTAGCAGAAGTACGTTTACAGTAAGTTATAACAGAAGTACGTTTACAGTAAGTTATAATAGAAGTACGTTTACAGTAAGTTATATGAGAAGTACGTTTACAGTAAGTTATAACAGAAGTACGTTTACAGTAAGTTATAATAGAGGTTCGTTTCGTTTCGTTTACTTATATACAGTAAGTTATAACAGAAGTACGTTTACAGTAAATTATAATAGAAGTACGTTTACAGTCATTTATAACGGAAGGACGTTTACAGGAAGTTATACTAGTATGATTGAGGTACTCTTTGGCGGGTGAATTACGTTTACAGAGTAAGTTATACTAGATTACGTTTACAGTAAGTTATACTAGAATTACGTTTACAGTAAGTTATAATAGAATTACGTTTACAGAGTAAGTTATACTAGATTACGTTTACAGTAAGTTATACTAGAATTACGTTTACAGTAAGTTATAATAGAATTACGTTTACAGTAAGCTTTGATATATGTACGTTTAGGCAAGCTAGAATATACTGTAAACATCCGTGGTTTTCGTGGTTACTATTGAACACCGAAAATATATACAATGAATTTGAAAAACTGTTGATATAGAATATCCACGAAAGTTTATACCACGAAAGGATCTAAATGGCTTCAAACCACGAAGGAAATTATCCACGAGCATTTCGTGGTGTACAGTAGGTACGTTTACAGTAAGATATCCCTTATGGTATTACAAGCAGGATAAATTAACATTACTCCACGTTGATAGTGGTGAAATGGTGAAATGTAACAAATGTTAAATTGGTATTTATTTTCGAAAGTGTTTTTGTTTAGGACACTCAGCTTTGAAATGTTCGCCGAACCCCAGTATTGTCATAAATATTTCTATGAAGCAGGCGTAAAGCAATCCCCATTATTGTCAGTTCAACACGCAATGTGCATCTGGTTAAGACAATAGAAGAAGATGGACTAGCGGCTACTTGTGTACATTGTTTTTTATGAGGTATTTAGCGGTTACTGAAGAGTAAACACATTGCTCGTGGTCGATCAAAAGATCACGCGAGTATTTAATCTCAAGAGTGTTAAAGCTTAGGTCACCCCGTACAGAATGTACAGTAACAAGTGGTCAAGCATACCTTTACGTGGTTAACCTGTACCCTGTCACCCTATGTAGGTGGTAAAGTGCTGGTCTATTAAGTATTCGTACTTATCTTATAAGTTCAAATGAACAACCGGTGTTTTCAATTTATACCAACAGGATTAACTAATATCAGTTTTTGAAATCTCCTACCTAAATTCTATTATTTTCGAGTTAAGTTATTGAAATAGAAATAAAAATATACCAACATGTCTTTCCAGAAATTCGTTTTACGCTTTTAATTTACGGTACTAGTGATCGTCATTTTCAAGGTGATCAAATGTGTTAAAGTAATTATTATATCTCAAAAAAATGGTATTTCGTCTATTTATAATTAATTTGTTTTTGTCGAAGTCAAAAGGGAGTTTGTGCATTAAATAAAAAATAAAATTGCATTCTGCTATATAGTAGCCTTAGCTAGTCATTGTCGGTATAGGGGTTGTTTGTTACAGTTTTCTCCTCACCTCTACTCTACTGTAACGTCATGTGTTGGAAATCTCTCAAATGTAAAGAAATTCACATGGACGATATATATCAGCTCTAATGAAATTTTATAATTTCTTTGTCACTTAATAGTAACATAAGACTGGATTAAACCAACCTGAGTGTAATAGTTGTTGTGGACATTAAACAGTTAGCTTTAAATGTTGTCTATACATACGTATACATGTACTGTGATCATTTAGATCTCAACATCGCTGTTTAATGTCTCCTTACCTCTTTTGAATACTTGTATAACCAAATGAAAAGATAATATCTTTTAATGCTACAATACCTTTAGATTGTGGCATATGCAATAAAGCGGTCTATAGTACCTTATGTTTACTGTTGATGCTTTCAATGGGAAGCAGATCCTGGTCCACAAAATTGAAGGTTACTTCAAACATTACTCGAAACTGCAGTCAAAGGAGTTTGACCTTAGAACTAATCATTTGATTTATTGATATGAATATTGACGACTTTGTCAATACTTTTTTTTCACATACTCATCAACGGTGCAACTGAAGTACTTAGCAGGTTCATTAGCATTGACACAAGCGATTGAATCTGGAAGGCTTGGTGACAGGTTGTATAATGTGGACGTCAGTGCAGCAGACTTGAAGATATCCGTTCAAGAAATATTTAGAATGTCAAATGATTTCAGAGTATAGAATAAACACTTCGTGTACATTTTATTTTATTTTGTAATGAGTATTTTCCAGTATTAAGACATTTAAAAGCTAGCGTGACAAAATTCAATATCTATATTCTTAACTGTCAGTATTCATAACAGAGAGAACAGAACGGTAAACTGAGTAAGGAGACTATTTAATTATAAAGTCAGGGTCGGCTATTACAGGGTCGGCTTCATATCTAAGTGGCTTATGTTACTTGTCAGTGTGCTCAATTTAGCCAGCATGAGAAGGTCGCACGTGTTTTTGAAGTTCTTTATCACAAATATATCCATTATCAATGATAATACATACATCTATATAGCATATATGTATATTATTAGTCATATATGACAGCACTAATTCATATAGGACAGAGTATTGAGTATCAAGAAAATTATCCCAATGTATTTAATAATTACATATTATAGACTTTTCTACAGGTAAATATGGAGTTTAAGTCTCAGTCAATATTCAGGTCAGATGTTTTTCGAGTTTGCATATACTGGTGATCTAACCATGTATAACAAAGCTGTATTTATAATAACAGTGACTTATAGGTCTTATTTTAATGGTATATATATCTTTACATATTAACATTATCATATCAGTAACTTTGCACTAATGTTCAGTTCAAAGTATAATCAAAGAATTATTCTACTTGCGATTTAGCATTGTAGAAACCGTGCAAAACATAACTGGGAGTCACATAAGTTTTGGCAAATTATACATTAATATTAACTATCATTTCATGAGAAATTCATCTTTCGAATATAAATGGCATCTTAAAGTATAATAATGCTTGTATATGCAAATCTGTAATATATACAATGTGAATAAATATTTATATATACCACATAAGTAAATACAGCAAACAAATACGGACCTTATTGAAATCCCTGAGTTGGTCCAGTTTGGAGGGCCGCCGTTTGCTGTGATGCAGTGGCTGCAGAGTGTTAGCGGCGATCACCTTAGATACCACTTTGACCAGGGACAAGCGTCTATGGGCCCTTGACCACTCGGGCTTAGAAGTTGAAGTAGCACTGTCCGAATGGTGTTTCCGAGTCCTAGGCATGACGATACCCGTGGACATGCTCCATTTCCTCACGTCCCTCCCCTCCTTGAAAACTGGCGAGTCGGTATCATCATTATCATCTGATATAAAAACAGAGTTTGAACTATCCTGGGATCTCCAACGGGTTTTAGGTGTTTTAATGGTAGGGCGACGTATACTTAAACGACTCAAGGTAGTGGAATTTTCAGGCACGCTTGCACTTCTCTTGTCCTTCAAAGCTTCATCGTTGTTCTTGTGTTTAGGCGTCAGCGATTCATCATTGCTCCTTTGTCTAGGGGTTGTGGGGCCACCGTCTCTTGGTTTAGTCGTTATGGAATCCTCACGAGGTTTAGGGGCTGTGGGTCCGTTCCGAGGTGAAGGGATCAGACAGTCTTCTGTTTCTCTAGGAGACGAAAGGTACTGTGCGGATGGACCCGTGTTCGAGGATCGACGTCGCTTGTCCGACCTTTTCTTTTCAATCATTGTTGATATAGATAATGGCAGCGTGTCAACACAGTTACATGCAGGTACACATGGACAAATACTATCTATTGTGTGCGACAGCGGCAATGAACTCGGACCAATTAGGTATCTAAATACGAAGACATAACAACATAGTTCTCCATTCTACTGGCAGTGTGTTGTTACAGTCTATATTTGCAGTCCGTGCCCCCAATGTCAAATAAGAGAAATGCTTGTATCGGTTGTACAACAGATGAACCATATATACCGTAGACGCAGACTTTAAATATCCCGGTACTCCAGCTTTCCCTAACAGTTAGTCCGGGTTTTAGAGCCGTATCCGGGTCCTTATGCAATCACTTGGATATATCACTGATAGCAGACGTTCACTTACGCTTTATAAACACATAAATTTTGCTTGCCTCTTGATGTCATGATCTACGATGTCGATTAGCGTGGGTATCAGGGAGGAAACAACCAGGCAGTTCCTTGTAATAGCGAAGTAATCACTTGGTCAGCCTTTTTGGTTTGATGTTACCTAGATTTATGATGAGCGTTCCTATCTTGATAAGGTTGATCTGTTTGGTTCATCGACTGCCAGTGTATTTGGGGTGCCTGTGCCAACTTGGAGTTGGCAAACAGGTGTTATCTGACGGTTACGACGACAGGTGTCTGTTCTCATGTGTTACTTCAACAAATCATAGTGTATCACTCCGGCTTAACAAACTCGCTTATCGTTATCTAGTTAACACCCATATAACGTGTGTGACCGCATCTCCAACTTACTCTGATTAATAATGAATCACATTTCGTACTATGTCGTTCTGTTGGATTCCGCCAAAAGGTCGAGGACTTGACCCTAGAAACACCTCCTGGACGGAATTAACTCACAAAGGGGGCGACCATTCTGTAGAGGGCTTCTGCCTTGTTTCAGATTTTGGAAAATCAATTATTGATGCTCACAGGTAGAACTTAATCCCATTATCCATGCCGTTCAACAACAACTACCTACAACGACAAAAGTAACTGTGATAGAATTTGGATTTGTAAATGGTTAAATTCAGCCCGAGGAAACGTTCTCGTCAAAATACATATCTCAACACTAAAACATTTGATTCTATCAACTGGTCTGTTTACTCTTGTTCTTAGATATTAAAGTGTCGGCGAAACATTGTACGCTCGACGCTAGGCTATTATTGGCGCACGCTGGTAACTCAATATTACACCTTCGAGTTTGTATCATCACACTTTTCGAGTATCTTGACAGTGTATGTACAAAGCACTTAGGTTAGAAAATATATAAAAATGTCATTTTGGTCCGTAATATTGGTACCGATACTTAAGTCTCTAATGATGGTCGTGGTTTTCAGTACATCACAAATCTATGTGCCGAGTGCCGTAAAAATTCTGTCCGTTTTAATGTCAATCATTAAAAAAGGAAACCCGTGAGTTCATAAAATGATAGTTTTAACATGGTGTGCTGGGTGGTAGTGCATGCATCCTACAAACAAGTTTGCACTTAGGAATATAGGTATGTTTGAATAAGACTATCTCTAGATTTAATTGGAAATATCCAATCAAACAAACCACGCGCCGGTTTAGGTAATTATATTAGATTTATTGTCTGTTAAGGACTATTTCGTGTGTGTTTTGTGTATATGTTGATAGTTCTATAACCCATTGAATGATGATACTGGGAGTTCTAGTGTAATTATATATGTGTGAATGTCTTTAAACTTTGTGTTCTAGTGTACTGGACTGTGTATGTTCCGTGTGTTGTAGTGTGGACTGTGTATGTTCCGTGTGTTGTAGTGTTGACTGTGTATGTTCCGTGTGTTGTAGTGTGGACTGTGTATGTTCCGTGTGTATCTAGTGTTGAATGTGTATGATTCGTATGTTCTATCGCTGAATGTGTATGTTCCGTGCGTTGTAGTGTGGACTGTGTATGTTCCGTGTGCTGTAGTGTGGACTGTGTATGTTCCATATGTTGTAGTGTTGGCTGTGTATGTTCCGGGTGTATCTAGTGCTGAATGTGTATGATTCGTATGTTCTATCGCTGAATGTGTATGTTCCGTGTGTTGTCGTGTGGACTGTGTATGTTCCGTGTGTTGTAGTGTTTTCTGTGTATGTTCCGTGTGTTGTAGTGTGGACTGTGTATGTTCCGTGTGTTGAAGTGTGGACTGTGTATGTTCCGTATGTTGTAGTGTGGACTGTGTTTGTTCCGTGTGTTGTAGTGTGGACTGTGTATGTTCCGTGTGTTGTAGTGTGGACAGTGTCTGTTCCGTGTGTTGTAGTGTTGACTGTTTATGTTCCGTGTGTTGTAATGTGGACAGTGGATGTTCCGTGTGTTGTAGTGTGGACTGCGTTTGTTCCGTGTGTTGTAATGTGGACAGTGGATGTTCCGTGTGTTGTAGTGTGGACTGCGTTTGTTCCGTGTGTTGTAATGTGGCCAGTGTATGTTCCGTGTGTTGTAGTGTGTACAGTGTATGTTCCGTGTGTTGTAGTGTGGACAGTGTCTGTTCCGTGTGTTGTAGTGTTGACTGTTTATGTTCCGTGTGTTGTAATGTGGACAGTTTATGTTCCGTGTGTTGTAATGTGGACAGTGGATGTTCCGTGTGTTGTAGTGTGGACTGGGTATGTTCCGTGTGTTGTAGTGTGGACAGTGTCTGTTCCGTGTGTTGTAGTGTTGACTGTGAATGTTCCGTGTGTTGTAGTGTGGACTGGGTATGTTCCGTGTGTTGTAGTGTTGACAGTGTATGTTCCGTGTGTTGTAGTTTTGACTGGGTATGTTCCGTGTGTTGTAGTGTGGACAGTGTCTGTTCCGTGTGTTGTAGTGTTGACTGTTTATGTTCCGTGTGTTGTAGTGTTGACTGTATATGTTCCGTGTGTTGTAGTGTTGGCTGTGTATGTTCCGTGTGTTGTAGTGTCGACAGTGTATGTTCCGTATGCTGTAGTGTGGACTGTGTATGTTCCGTGTGTTTTAGTGTTGACTGTGTATGTTCCGTGTGGTGTAATGTGGACAGTGTATGTTCCGTGGGTTGTAGTGTTGACTGTGTATGTTCCGTTTGTTGTAGTGTTTACTGTGTATGTTCCTGTGTATGTTCCGTATGTTGTAGTGTGGCCTGTGTATGTTCCGTGTGTTGTAGTGTTGGCAGTGTATGTTCCGTGTGTTGTAGTGTGGACTGGGTATGTTCCGTGTGTTGTAGTGTGGACAGTGTCTGTTCCGTGTGTTGTAGTGTTGACTGTGAATGTTCCGTGTGTTGTAGTGTGGACTGGGTATGTTCCGTGTGTTGTAGTGTGGACAGTGTATATTCCGTGCGTTGTAGTTTTGACTGTGTATGTTCCGTGTGGTGTAGTGTGGACTGCGTGTGTTCCGGGTGTTGTAATGTGGACAGTGTATGTTCCGTCTGTTGTAATGTGGACAGTGTATGTTCTGTGTGTTGTAGTGTGGACAGTGTATGTTCCGTGTGGTTTAGTGTGGACTGTGTATGTTCCGTGTGTCGTAGTGTTGACTGTGTATGTTCCGTGTGTTGTAGTTTTGACTGGGTATGTTCCGTGTGTTGTAGTGTGGACAGTGTCTGTTCCGTGTGTTGTAGTGTTGACTGTGTATGTTACGTGTGTTGTAGTGTTGACTGTGTATGTTACGTGTGTTGTAGTGTTTACTGTGTATGTTCCTGTGTATGTTCCGTATGTTGTAGTGTGGCCTGTGTATGTTCCGTGTGTTGTAGTGTTGGCAGTGTATGTTCCGTGTGTTGTAGTGTGTACAGTGTATGTTCCGTGTGTTGTAGTGTGGACAGTGTCTGTTCCGTGTGTTGTAGTGTTGACTGTGAATGTTCCGTGTGTTGTAGTGTGGACTGCGTTTGTTCCGTGTGTTGTGATGTGGACAGTGTATGTTCCGTGTGTTGAAGTGTTGACTGTGTATGTTCCGTATGTTGTAGTGTTGGCTGTGTATGTTCCGTGTGTTGTAGTGTGGACTGGGTATGTTCCGTGTGTTGTAGTGTGGACAGTGTATATTCCGTGGGTTGTAGTGTTGACTGTGTATGTTCCGTTTGTTGTAGTGTTTACTGTGTATGTTCCGTGTGTTGTAGTGTGGACGGTGTGTATATCCTTCGTTCTATTGTAGATTGTGTATTTTTTTTTATGTTAGTGAGGATTGTATTTGCTGTGTTTTCAATTGTTGAATGTGACTTTGTGATGTGTGTTCTAGTGTACATTGTATTTGATCCGTGTGTTCCAGTATGGAGTGTGTGTGTTCCCTGTGTTCTAGAATAGTCTATGTATGTTCCTTGTGCTCTAGTGCAGACGTTGCCCGTTCTCTCTGTTTAAGTGTAAGTTGTGTATGTGCCCTCCGTTTTATTCTTGGTCGTGTATATTTTGTGTGTTCAAGTGTGAACTGTTTATATTCAGTGTGTACCACTGTGTTTATTTGATGTGTTATAATGTAGACTCAGTGTGCTCTGTGAATTCCCGTGTTGTGTGTGAGTGTTCCGTATATGTTCTAGAATGCACAATTTCTTCCCTGCGTTCTAGCGTAGACCATGTGTTTTTTTGTGTAGACTGCTATCTAGCTTATTATATAGTTAATTATCAGCCTTTTCTATACAAATCCGGCTGTTAGGTATGTACCCGACTTTCTACTTCATTAGCAAGCACACAACAACACGTAAATAGAACAGGTAATTATCATTAATAACCTAGCAGACGAACCAAAGGCGCTGACAATAGCCCACGTGACATGTCGAGACGTCATTACTTGGTAACATACGTGATGCATTCTAGGTCAATATATTGTCGCAATACGGATTTTTTCAAATACGTTTTACTAAAAGATTTAACACGTTTCCTGAGAAACATGATTTTCTCTACTCCGTTCATATTCACCACTCATTTATAATAATAATAATAAACTTTATTTATTGAGGATACAAAACCTGTTTGGCAAAGCTAATCTTCCACATGATCCTCTGTTAGTAAAATTGGTTTGTAAAAAGACAAAGTAGTATCACAGCAAATAAATGAACATAAAATAATTATCACCGTTGCTACTAAGACATAATTGTTGGTCTTACTAAAACAGCAATTCATATCACAGTTATTTCATAATTTAAACGGTCGTTCAATACAATTACAATAAAACTATCACAGAAGCAACGAAATATATTCCGTGCTTAACCCATTATGGTTTTCATTAAAAGACAAATTGTCTAATTTCCATATATGCTAATGTAGCAAAAACTAAAAAATTGACAGAATACACGCTAATATAGCGAAAATAAAACAAATCAAAGTTGTATCTAAAAAGTATAAAAGTAAAATAAAAGACAATTAAACCGCATTCTTAATGTTACCAATCATATTTTGTTTGAATTTTGTCAAAGAGGAAGAGAGTCGTACTTCAACCGGTAAATTATTCTAAATCTGGCTCCCTTGTACCAAAAAGTGTTTGGAATAAAATATGGTACGGTGTTTAGGTACTTTGACAGAGTTTTGGGATGCTGATCTAGTATATATGTTGGTAGACAAATTAAATTGATTAGAAAGATATCCTGGAACTAGATTATTTATACATTTGTACACCATAACACCTCCTTCGAATTTCAAATATTCGCCAATTGGTAACCAGCCTAATGAAGAAAACAGTTCTACTGATGGTGTATCAAATGGACCATCCAACAGTAATCTTGCAGCTTGTTTCTGCGCTTTTGACAGTTTTTGCAGAAGACTTAAAGAGCATCCGCTCCATACTGTGCTACTGTACATGAAGTGGGGAAAAATACATGCATGAAAAAATTTAAGTCTAGCTGAAAGTGGTAAATATTGACGGATGCGTCGAAGTAAACCCAAACCACTGTTAATCTTTGAAACAACAGATGCTATGTGATCTAACCAAGATAAACTGTTGTCAATTTTTACACCAAGGAGTTTTTCACTCTTTACTTGTTCAATACATTCCTGATCTAATATTAGGCTTAGAGCATCATCTATTCTGTTAAGTTTCTGTTTTGTGGCAATAACCATACATTTCGTTTTATTCCTATTTAGAATCATTTTATTCTCATTACACCAGTCTTGGACTTTAATCAGATCAGCTTGTAACTCATCCTGTACAATAGAAATAGAACTTCCAGATGCACTCAGAGTCGAGTCATCAGCATACATATCTGTACCTGATTTTAGCCCAAGAGGTAAATCATTGATAAAAATAAGAAACATCAGGGGACCTATTATGGAACCCTGTGGAACACCATGAGTAATTTGATTACTTTTAGAAATATGATTAGATACTGTAACTTTTTGAAACCGGTGAGAGAGATAAGATTGAAACCAGCTCAAAGATAATTTGTCACATTGATATATGGCTAACTTTTGAATTAAAACCTCATGATCTACCATGTAAAAGGCTTTTTTAAAATCTATGAAAATAACACCATTGACATTTCCTTTGTCAATTTCCTTTGCCCACTTATTAACAATACTGAGTAAGGCAGTCTCGCAAGAATGATGCTTACGGAAACCTGACTGTGAGGAAACAAGAAGATTATGTTCATTAATATACTTATAAAAACTATTATGAATATGTCTTTCTAATTTTTTGATAAAACTGGTAAAATAGTCATTGCTCCACCTTTATGAAGTGACTTGGAAATTTACCTGTGGTGATCTGTTAGAGAGTTGACAGAAGACACACTAGACTAACTACAGTTCCTGTGTTTGCTGTTGTTTCGCTTTTGATCTCTATCTTTAACTAGACACCTCGCCAGTCGAAGGACTAACATGAAATATGGAATTAAGGAAAACAGGATATACAATGATGAGGAGGATCAATTGTATACAAAACATGTTCGACATGGAGTTAATGGAAGAACACCCGTGAACCAGTTATTTGCTCTCTAAGCGAAATAATGTGAAGTGTGCTTGCCTGATCTAAATCGGCAAAGGGGAAGTTTAAAGATTAAAATGATCGATGAATATGCTATTTTTGTACATATTACAAACAAGATACTTTTACTAGCGATATGTTATTGTAACTGATGCTTTCTGTCTTCTTGTTTCTTTGTAATCAAAAATTATTTGTCTATCAATTAATGATATACTGTGAGGATCATCCTCGATATCCAGGGGTAACGCTCACGTTTGCTCTCTACATCCCTGGAATATGTCATGGCAAAATTGAAGGCTCGATATGCACCACCTTGTTGAAGACTAGTTCGATCCTTTGATGTACATCAAAAGAATCTCGCGGTCGCGTAACGGTAAAAATTGACAGGCTTTGAAGTCGGGCGTCTCTCCTTTGGAATCTTCAAAGGACAGGTATCAGTCTAGCGATTGGTCAGTGTTTTTTTTACCTGAGACCAATCAAACAGCTATCTTCGTGCCTTCAATTTTGCAATGACATATTCCAGGAGTGTAGAGAGTGAAAGTAAGCGTAACTCCTGGATATCGAGGATGTGTCGGGATAGGATGCAGCGATGACTCACCTTTTAATTATTTTAAAATCAATTTCAGTAGATAAACTATACTTACAGTATGTCAAGTGTCTGTCTTTCGTCCATTGTGGTCAGTGTGTCCGTTATTAGATGAAAATCCGTCACCAGGAGGGTTCCTCTTATTAGAAAGGCATACCTGGACACAGTGCCTAGCTGACGTTAATTGTTTGGTGCCAATAGCGGCATGAATCACAACCGGGTGTATAGAGTTCAAAATACAAACCTATAATAACTCGCGTCAACGAATACTGTTTCTTTAAAATCACAATTACATTATATCTTGATTAAAAACCTTTACTTGACACAGAAAAGCCATGACAAAAAGATATAATTAGCGAGGATCAGATTTCCGAAAGAGATACTTAAATAGCTCTCGCCTTTCAATACAAGAGCACGTGAATTGTTGCTGGATGGTATGGTGTGTCGTCACGGCTTATAACCCTATGTAAACTTACTTCTATTAAATTATTAACTTGTTTTGTGTACAATACAGCGGGTAAGTGGAATTGCAGTTGATTATGAATAAGGCTGTATGTAGTTGAATAAAGACAGCTAGAGTACAGCAATTACGGAATAGATAAAATAAAATATACAATGGAAATCCTTGGAATGCGGACAATATATTGATCACAATTTATAAAGCCGCTAATCAGGCGAGTAAGAAAGTTGGTGTTTGTATCAGAGTTGTATACGACTGTAAGAACATGGACCAAGTAATATACACTCTCCGTTAGATGTGCGAAAGTCGAAACGTGTACAAAAAATGTTACGTCACAGCCCGTTGTGTTAGGTGTAACGTTGCTTGACATCGTTACCATAAATGTATAGATCTGGAGGCGACGAAAAGGAAATTTGTTTCGCTACATGTACGCTACAAATTAAATGATTTAATTATGTATCAGCTAAGCCATTTTACATTGTACTAGTATATGTTGTCGTACATACTATTGAAGTCATTACACAAAGTGTTAAAGTCATTGTACACTATATCTTAGTCATTGTATAGTGTATCTTCATTGTATAGTGTATCTTCATTGTATAGTGTATCTTAGTCATTGTATAATGTATCTTCATAGTGTATCTTAGTCATTGTATAGTGTATCATTATAAATTATATCGAAGTCATTGTTCATTGTATCTAAGTCATTGAACATTGCATCTATGTCGTTGTTCATTGTATCTAAGTCATTGTACAGTGTGGCTAAGTCATTAAACATTGTATCTAAGTCATCGACTATTGTATATTAGTCATTGTACATTATATCTTAGTTATTGTTCATTGAATCTCGATTGTTTCTCATTGTATTTACCTCTCTTCCGACTATAAGTATCGTAATCTCTCAGCCAAACACAAGTACCGTAGTTTTCAATCTGCCGAACTTAAATCTTATTTGTCAAAGCCCCGGTAGGAGAAGAGGCCATGCATATTTTCTTCTAGCATTTTTGATAAATTACAAATGTTTATATATAAATATAACGTTAACTCCTGTTTTAATGAAATCATATCGAGATTTATAAAGTCAAAATTAGGAAAAAACACATTAATCACAAAGACGACGCAGCAAATATACATTCCATTACACAAAACATTTATTTATTAGGTGTGTTTTTTTAAAACATCATGAGTCATTGATCAGACTAATGGATTAAAGTACCGAATGATGTGTGAAAAGGCTAATTAAGCCAACATCAACTGCCGATTTGGGCCGATCTGATTTTTACTTAAGGAGGCTCCACCCTTTCGCAATTAGCCAGCAGAATTCAATGAAAGTTTCACATAATGGTTATGTCACTCTGTAGAGATGATTTTATGAAAATCTAAGCATTCCGATAAACTGGGGAGTTTTTTGTAAAAAATACCGAAATATTGAATTTTTGTCAAATTCAACACTTTTACATTTTTTGAGCGTGTTGCATTGTTCAAAACTATAACAACAATAAAATAATGAAAAGAAACATTGCTAATCAACCCTACAAATATTTTATTTATCATAAAATATCTACAACATATTACAAAAAGCGTTTTTTATTGAAATTGTATGGATAACAGTTACTAAATACAAGCTAAAAGCAAACAGGACACATAGTTTCATACAAAAAGACTGAAAAATTGAACGAAATGCACACAAAGTCTTTATAATTAATTTATTTTACATTTTACAATAATTTTGATCCTGATGAGAGTTGTCTACCTTGAAAAAAAACGGAACTTTTTGCAGAGGGATAGAATTTATACAATGACACTTATTTTCTTTACTATACCAAAAAACGACGGAAGTAATTTAAATTACTAGATTTAATTGTCAATTTACTGTTCTTTTATGGAACAAAATTACTCTCAATCATGTACACTTTGGACATCATTCCATAGCCTGCTTACGCATGGTATATTAACATGTCAGGTACATATGTAACCATAGGCTATCGCATGGTATGCCGTTATTACGTGCACGCACATGCACTTGCATTTTATAGGGATCTTGATATTTTACAAACCACTTTTTAACAGAGTTATTGTAATTGCATTTGTGAACCGATTTATCTGACAGAGCGTAACTCGCTCGACAACAAAAGTCGTAGCGACCAAGAGCTTGTGAACTACTGTTAGCACGTGATACGTACAGGTGAGGTCGGTAAACAAAACACATCAGTCTGCATTCCATGCGCCTCATATACGACCTTCTTGGAAGTCGTCTGATCATATGTCAGTGTTTGCCCGTGAGTTAATTAATGTCTTTGTATCATAAGCTTTATTTCTGAAGTACGTGTGATTACACATTTCCAAGTTAAGTCTCGATATCGGGTGTTGACATATCATCGTCACGCACGTGTACTATTGTTTACCCGGTGTTACTATAATTTACAACACGGTAATGGAATGCCCGATACGCAATACGGAAATGACGACACGAAAATACGAAAAGAAAAACATGTGTATTACGAAGGGTGGAAACTCCTTAACGATTTTTAACGTCACGCTCGGCATTGTCCATGACGTCATCAATTCATGTGACATGAGACGATCTGGAAACTATTTGTTCTGTGAGTCGATTTATGTTCAAATTTCAATCTTTGTAAACAATTATATCGGCATCACAGACGCACATATCGTATACCAATGGAAAGCTGACAACCCGATCTTGAAGCTCGCATCTAAAAAAGATTATATGCTTTCCCCGTTTTTTGAAATACCCGTCCATAGAATAAAGAAAAAAGAACAAAATCACCAAATTACATACTGCGTGTACCGTTTCCTGCATTTCACGCAGTGAGATATTCTAATCTGATCTCCACTCTACTTCCTGTTCCGGTGTCAACTGATAGAGTATGGATATTTTTTATAAATTTATCTATTCTCTTGGACTTTCTGTGAAAATTCGGAGCAACGGTGTCAGCATATTAGAAACCATTCGCGGACTTTCGTGCTGTAAGCGATGTATTTGAACTTTCAACTCCTCGGAGATATGACGTTGGATACGGCCAGTGGACATATGGCACGGACAAAGTGTCTTATTACTTATACCACGGACTTAGATAACGTAGACTAATCTAATTCCGTGCTTATACACATTATCTGGTATCATTTTTTAAAATAACTTAACTTCTGTCTTATATACTGTAGCTTTCGGTGAAACAATTGCAAACAAAAACATTTTACAGTGATGTAAGCCTATTTTCCGTAGTAGACTTTCATACACACAGTAACCCCCACCTTAGATTTTATTTTTTTTATTTTATCTGTATTGTGACTGAGCCCGTGTATACTGTTGTTCAGATAAGTTGGCTAGATCAATAGTATAAGGGTCTGAGGTCAGTTCGGACCCTGTTTCATTTTTTTCACTTTTTATTTCATCTTTTTTTCCCATAAAAGTTCCATAAGGTATGTCTCTTTCACTTTGCAGAAATGATTGATCAAGTCTATAGTCAGACTGAAAAAGGTTTCCAGTGCATAATTAGTAACGTAACAAGGGGCGCGTTCGGATTCAAATATATATAGAATCGAATCAAGAGATGTGCTGGTTGCTGACCTTTACACCAATTTTCGTCATGACACGTACGTAAATTGCGCTAGCGTACGCCGAGTTCTGTTAACATTCTTCCAATTTTAAAGGAGCTGTGGTTCTCTAAGTCGCTTCAAACAGTTACTAATTACATGTAACGACCTAGTTTGACGAAGATATACGTGCCTCGGCGGGCAAGAATCAGTGAGAATAGGTTATTGTATTATGAACTTGAAGACGTCAATAAAAACACTGTGAAATAGTTAATATAATGTCGACAGAAATATTCGGTACTTTGTTTTTTTGTCTTAGTTATGTTAACTGGATCAAACCATTGATAACTTACAAGAAGAATGTCTCACCTGTTGGTTGTATCACAAATTCCTCATAAGATGTAAGTAAATATTATTGAATAAAATTGGTTCAGCATCTTTTTGGGACATTTGGACGCTACACAGGTACCACTAGCCAACTTTCAGTTTGGTGGATATATTTTGCTATGAATGGCGTTACACATTTTTTTTATTTACGTCATATCAGTATCTGTTACGTAAACAAAATTTGCCGCCCTAATCACCACCCCATCCCAACAAATTAGTTAGGCTTTATATTATAATTTTTAGCGATACCGACAGTATCTGACTGTGATTAGAAGACGAATACATGTACGAAATAGAGAAATGACTCACCGGTTCTAAATGCGTGCACGTTCAACTGAACAATATCACAACTCTTTTGAAAATACGTCTTCGAAATCAAAGACTTCCACCCTTGATTTAAATTTGTACTGAGCGTGTTACCCTTGGATTCGAAATTGCAGGAAATAGGGAGCATCATATATGATTATGTACAACAGATCGTACACACATTATAATTCGTTGTCATACACTAAAGGTAAAAATGTCCACATCTGCAAGTTTCTACAATATACCTTAATATCGGCCGGTATACAAACATGCGCACTAACTGCCGAATTACATGTAATTATATAAAGTAAAAATAATTATTTCAGCTTTCCATAGAGGTATAACATGTGGTTCTAGGTGATCGTAATAGTTGTAAATGGTCGTTTGAATATGAAGTAATTCAATGTATTTTTCCATGACGTTTCCGGAGTAAACGTAATTGTGTCTACGCCTAAATTGTTGACGTCATAATACAACGACGTCATAATAGGACATTTCAAAACCACGTTGAAATATTGGCCT